TCTTATTCATTGCCCTGCCCTACTGCACTCTCCCATCACCCTACCCCTTCCTGCTGATTCTTTCCCCTCTAATTCTGTCACATGTATTCCATTGCCCATCATTCCTGCACCTTACGTTAAGATTTCTTCCTCCTGCTGGGCGGTGGTGGCGCACGCCTTTAATCCCAGCACTTGGGAGGCAGAGGCAGGCGGATCTCTGTGAGTTCAAGGCCAGCCTGGTCTACAAGAGTTCCAGGACAGGCTCCAAAGCTACAGAGAAACCCTGTCTCGAAAAATCAAAAAAAAAAAAAAGATTTCTTCCTCCTGTCTCATGATGATCCTTTTCCTAAACACACACACACACACACACACACACACACACACACACACACACCCCTCCTTAGATTCATACAAGAAATGGTATTTTTCTGAGTTTAGCTTATTTACTGATTTCCTGTTCCATCCATTTTCCTGGAAATGTTTCCTATTTCTTTATGTCTGAATAAAATCCTACTTACATTGCATGGATTAATTGCATTAGTAACTTTGAGTTAATTAACGAGTCATCAGTATTGCATCATTGTCACATTAAATAAAGAAATAAGAGCATTTTCCTTTGGATTCATTTAATCCACATTGAGGCCCGATTTGAATTCTCCACTTTATGTTCCCAGTGTCTCCATCCTTCTAACAGAGAATCAGCTTTTTTGTGCTGGGTTTATTGAGCTGCATAGAAAGCATCACATGGGGTAGGAGTGGAATACTTTACAGAAATCTGTCTTACAAGGGATGACGTCACTGGCTTCAACCTACCCATTTAACAAACAGTATTATGACATCCATCAGTATCTGTATCTGAATGTTGTGTTGAGCATTTATGGTGGCTATTCACTTGGAAGATTGCTTTCATCTTCTATATTTGCTGATTTCATAAAATGATACACATGCATTGTTCTGGGTTGGGGTGTGGAAGGGCACATAATTTAAGATTACAGCTATGCTTAGTTTAGGTTGTAAAAGTTAATTACACGGGGAATCCAAGGGAAGTAAGGTTGATTGCTGCGCTGTTCTCTTAAAAGCAGATTAAAGGAACAGGCTGAGTACTCGTTTGGAAAGCAGTTTTAAGGCTTAAATGACCTCAAGATATATTATTAACTCAGCAAAAGTTCCAGTCTTAGAATGTAGGAAATATTTTCATCATAATGCATTGTTACAATATATGTCTGTGTGTATTTAACACATTGTCCATCTATCAATGGATGCCTGGCCTGCTTCATTTTTCTGCCTATTACAGGAATAGGTGAAGGAATAGGCATGGGCATGCATTATCTCAGTGGTTTGTTGACTAGAGTCCTTTGGGTATATAATGCAAGAGTGGTGTAGTTGGGTCACATAGTTGTGTTTTTTTAGTATTTTGGAGGAAATTCCATGTTAATGTACATAATGTTGTGTCCCAGCAGCAATATGAGGGTTCCTCATTCCCCAAGTCATTACTGGAATTTTTAGTTTTTTGATGACAGCCTTTCTGACTGGGTTGAGACAGAATCTGAAAGCAGTTTAGTTTGAATTTCTGGAAGTATTTATTGCCCGTTATCTATATTCTTTTTGAGAATCATCTGTTCAGTTCCCAAGCCTGTTTATTGATTTAAAAGCCTTTATATATTTTTTGATTTTATTTTGTATTTTTTTTATATTTCATTTTTGCAGTTCTTTATGTTAAAAGTAAGTTTGGAGATCACAAAGACTACTACTCCAATCGAAGTGTCTCTGTTTACTCTTGGTCATTATTGCCTCAGCAGAATAAATCGAGGGAAACAGAAAGTGCACTTGACTTTTTATTCTAATGTGGATAGTGGTAACTGTTGGTGACCCCCCTCCCCATTAGCGTCCAGCCTCAGTCTCTCATGATGGCTAGTCTTAAAGGAATGGACACACAGAAAATGACGGGGAAAGAAGTCAGCCACTTTAATCCCACAAAATAGCAGAGCCTTAGTATAAAAAGGGTTTACTGTATTTGGGTGTGTGCGCTAAAACATTTGCTTTAAAGTCTTACAAGGTGGGAAGATTAAAAAAAATTTAATTCCTTGTCATAAACATAGTTTTATAGCATTTGATAAGTTAAAAACTCATATTTAATGTTTTTTACATTTATATATATTCTAGATAGTAATAATTAATAATATACTTATTAATACCTATTATTCTAACAACTTATAGAAAGAAGGGTGTATTTGACTTATGGTTCCAGAGTAAAAAGGGTCCATCACTGCCAGGAGGCCAGCATTATGGCTGAACAGGAAGCTGAGAGCTCAAATACAAGCACAAAGAGAACTAAACAGGAATTAGGTGGTACTCAGAGCCCACCTCCAGTGACATACACTTCCTCTGGCAAGGCTGCACCATCTAAACCAACCCCAAAGCTCCACCTGCCAGGAATCAAGTACTCAAGTATACACCTGAGCCTATGGGGACTTTTCTCATTCAAGCCATCCCAGATACCATGACTGATTTGTAGAGGGCAGACTCTCCCCTCCCCCTGTCTATTTTCTCTGGTAGCTGTTTCCTTTGCTTTGCCCAAGTTTTTAAATTTCCCATCTGTCAATTCTTTTTTTTTCCGATTAATTATGCAAGCAGACGTCACTCACACAGCACACAGACACAGACAGCACAGAGACATTCATACACAGACACATTACATCACAACACACACAGTACAGACTTACCTGGGACTCGAACCGGCGACCTCGGGCTCTGCGGGCAGCGCTCCAGTCCTCTCAGCCAGCTCTCCGACCGTTCCATCTGTCAGTTTTGCGTTATTTTCTATGCTGGTTGGACCCTTCTCAGAAAGTCATTGCCTATGCCTATTGCTTGAAGTAATCGCCTCATTTTCCTTTCACAGTGTCAAAGTTTCAGGCTTTTCTTTAAGGTCTTTGGCCATTTTGAGTAGGGTTTTGTGCAAGTCTACATGGAACTATATCCATTTTTTCCTAGTATCATTTGTAGAAGAGGCTATCTGTCTTTTATTAAAAGGAAAATGTGTTTCTGATACTTATATAAAATTAGGTGACTGTTTGCCGTTAATCCAAGCACTGGGGAGACAGAGTGGACCTCTGTGAGTTTGAGGCCAGTGTGGTCTACAGAGCGAGTTCCTGGACAAGACCCCAAAGCTAGAGAGAAACCCTGTCTTGAACAACAAAACAAACAAAAAATTAGGTGACTGTAACTGTGTTCTCTCACGTCTAGGTTCTCTGTACTGTTCTGTTGGTCTGCCTGTCTGTGTTTGTTCAGTATTGTATGGTTTCTTTTACTATTTTTACGTAGTGTAATTTGAGACAAGCACTGTGATACTTGTAACTTAGAATCACTTTGACTGTTTGGGGTCTTTTATGCTTCAAATAAATTTTATGATTTTTGTTCTAATTTTGTGAAGAATATCATTGGATTTTTGATGGAACTGCAGTGAATCTGTAGATTGCTTTAGGGAATGTAACTATTTTTTGGTATTGATTTTGCCAATTCATAAGTGAGTAGAGTGAAGGCTGCTAGGCTCTGAAATGAAAAGGAATTAGTTATTATTCATTGATACTGATGTTTCTGTTTAAGACTTGTGTTTGTGTGTGTGTGTGTGTATGTGTGTGTGTGGGAGAGAGAGAGAGAGAGAGAGAGAGAGAGAGAGAGAGAGAGAGAGAGAGAGAGGAGAAAGAGAGCGCGCTCTAGAGAGATCTGTCCCTCAGTTCTGTCCTTCTACCATGTGGGTTCTGGTATCAGGCTCTGGTCTTTAGGCTTGCTGCTTCCCTCCACCTTTTTGTTATGTTAGGACTCAGTTTTATGGAAGAGTTTCTCAGTTTGAGACCATCAACATGCTTGTAAGAACATTTTCTCTGCTGTGTTGAATATTATTGTGCTCGGCATTCAGTGTTTTTGAGTCCAAGACTGAGGTGGTATGGAAGTCACAATGGTGCTTTTGTTTAACTTTTCGTAGCCTTTTCTTTTCTTGCCTGATTCCAGAGATTTTATTCTTTGTGTGTGTGTGGGGGGGGGAGGGGGGTGGTTGTTAGTTTTTTTCTTATGGTCCATAGTTTTTGCCTAAGCTTATTTGCATCCATTGGTGAGCCTTTGCCAGGTTCCCCACACCTCTCTTGTTCCCGTGTTGCTGCTCTCCTATATTTGGACTAGCTGTTCCGTGCTCTCATGGAGAATTTCTGATTCAAAGTGTGCTATACTCTCATGCTATACTTCCTTGACAAGCTATACAGCCAGGGCTGCTCCAGTCTTCTCTGAGTTCCCTTAATATTTTAGGATCTTATCTCAGGTAAAACTAAATCCTTGCTTTGACCTGAATTTCAGGATGAGTCAGCATGAAGACAAGTTGGAGTTTATTTAAAATAGAAAAAAAGTTGCTCAGGAAAGACTAAAGCACCCCGGGCGCATTTTCAGAAGTTTGAGAGCAAACACAATCAAAGGAAACAAAGTGAATACCTTAAACAAATGATAAGAAAGCAGACAAAAAAGGCATTCAACAAATAGGATCAGAGTAAACTATCAACTAAAGTTCAGGAAACCTGGATTCCCCTGAATTAACTCATCAGTATATATCACTAGATGGCTCAGTATAGGAGGCCATTGCTGGTACCTGGTCTGGATGGGGGTGGGGTTAATCTAATACTGTCTTTTATTCCCACAACTGATGACATAAATTCTTCATTTTTGTCAGTGAATATGCATAGTTTACTTGGATGTTTTCTTGGAATTGGAGGTCATATGTTTTCATGTCAGAATTTGTGCTAGACTTCTGTCACATAAAAGAAATGAGAAATGAGTGTTTTGGGAGGCTCAGCACTGGTGTCCGTTTTCTCCATTTTACCCAACCACTTTTCAGTGAGAAGTAGAAGTCGTGAAATCTTCAGTTGCTTTGTTAAATTATATTTTCTTTCAAGTGTGCCTATATTGTACATTAATTAAATAAAATACTAAATATAAAAAATAATAAAATCAAAGTTACTTGTTTGATTTTTCTTCAGAAAAAAGACCATCCCCGTTCCTTGACTATGTGTGGCCATGTTGGCTTTGAAAGTTTACCTGATCAGCTGGTTGATAGATCCATTCAGCAAGGCTTCTGTTTCAACATTCTCTGTGTGGGTGAGTGCCAGTAACTCCTCCAGTTTTTCAGAATTCATACGCTTAGGCTCGCTTCCTTCTTTATATAAGCAGGATGATTCTTGTGTCTAAGATTAATGGCTCTGTGGATTTTATGAGTCGTTTAAATTCTACTAGTTTTGTTTTGCTTAGCTTCAACCTTTTTTTTTTTTTAAAAAAAAAATTTTTAGTGCTCTCTTCAGAGGTCAGAGAAGGGTAGCATGTGTAGTCATTGTTCCCCTAGCGATTTAGACCAGCTTCAGCCATGCTGCCCACTAGAGTTTAGATGTGTGATTGTTCTCAGTGACTCTCTGTTTCTTTCAGGGGAGACTGGAATTGGAAAGTCCACACTGATTAACACACTGTTCAATACTAATTTTGAAGAGCTTGAATCCTCACACTTTTGTTCGTGCGTTAGACTTAGAGCTCAGACGTACGAACTCCAGGAAAGTAATGTTCGCTTGAAACTGACCGTTGTGAATACAGTGGGGTTTGGCGACCAGATCAATAAAGAAGAGAGGTATGTGGGGTTTTCTGTTTGTCTGATTCCTTTCTTGTATAAGACAAGCTTTATTTCAGGGTGAAACCTGCATTTAGTCCTTTCTCATCTCCTTTAATGTAGATAGTTTCTAAAAAGTAACTGATTTTGAGCCACCAATTTTATCTTGTTTTCTGCCTTTAGATGCTTTAAGTTTTCAGTTACAGCAAGCTTCCTTATGCCTAGGACTTGAATTTAGTGTGTGAGGAAAACCCCAAACAGTATACAATATTAAATGTTTATTTTTACTTAAGTTTTCTCATTTTTCCTCAAATACTTGCAAGGTCAACACAAATTACCAAGCATAAAGCCAACTGGATTACCACATGGCTGTTTTCCTCCAAATATTTCCTCTTTCCTGAATTAAATAATAGAGGAATGCAAGAAGAACAGGCTGCCTGTGTCAAATAAGCTGAACATTCTGCTAACAAACAAAAAAAAAAAAAGCCAAATGCTCTGAAACAACATGAAAGATATCTAAATAAACGGCGTCCTAACACCCAGCTCTGAACAAACAGTGGACGGTTGACCAAACCGAGCGAAGTCTGAGCCCTAGAAAGAACACATGTTGGAGGAGGCAGTCCCAGGTAGTTGGCACAAGGGGCTGTGACAACTGATCTGCGTGACTCCTCCAGCAAATATGGATCGTGCTTTGGCCATATCGAGTACCTAAAACCACTGTTGCAAAAACAGTTCTCACCTCTGAGTGAATGGTAGATAGTTTCTTTTGGAGCCAAAGGCGAATGACTTTGGTCCCGAAATGCAGATTCAGTTTGTCCAAGATAACATATTTCCATGTGGCCAATCATTTGAAGTTTTTCAAAAGGAACAGATGAAAGTCACAAATCAAAATACTTTTCAGATGCTCTGGTGGGAATATCAGTTAAGTTGGTTTCAGTCAATGAGTGAAGTCAGTTGACGGCCTCTGCTGCTCTGATGTCATTCTTGGCCTTCATCCCTTGACTTGACTGTCTTGAGGATGGTAGGGCAGACAGACAGACAGGCAAGTAGTAAATAGCTCTTTAGGGAGTCTAAAAATAATTGGATTCTGGAACTTTAACATTTCAGCTAATCAGTCATGCAGCCTGTAGAATGTGGCTTTTTCTGGGGATGTCAGTTTATATCTGCTTAACTTTCTAGTTTTCCTTTTTTTCTTCAGTTTTGGCCTTGATTTCTTAACACCTGTTGAGCCATTTGGTATTTTTTAAGGATATGAGTTAAGTCACTGTCTTCTCATTGAAATGGTGTTTTTTATTTATTGGAATTAGAAACAGGATAAATTACTATAGAAGAAATTCTGTTTATTTGTCCAACAGTATCTATGGTTTCATTTTTTGAAAAATCTTAAGACAGTCATCTGCATGAATATTTCTGGTTATTTGGACTGTGTAATAAGTCATTACTGACCTATTTTAAGTAATTAACAAATGCTTCTTTGAAATTTTTATGTGAAATATGTACTTAAAGATTTTTACTGTTCAGGTTTTTTGAAAGGGAATATTACTGAGTCATATTTAGACCAGTATTCTAAGGAACCTTTCTTAGTGTTGTTAGTAATCATTCTGATGATGAACTTAGTTCTTATAATGTTGAAGGTATTATGCTAATTCTTATAGAAAACAGAATTATGAAGATACTGGCTTTCTCCCCAACTGTTTGCTGTCTATAGTGGGGGAATACACTATTCTGTGTTTTAGGTTCTGGTCTCTAAGGACTAGAATTACCAGACAATTATAAAATAATTCAGTTCTATCTACGTTCTATAAGGTTACTTTCACAGCTCTTCTGTACAATTACAAGGATGTCCATGGAGTGTCCAGAGCCCAGGCAGCAAGGAGTGCTAGGAAAGAAACTGTTTTTGAACTATTAAAATATCTTCATGATAGATAGGTGTTTCTATGGTAGCTTTTATTTTGTAAATCTTCATAATGCTTGACTTGCTATTCTTTTATTTATGGTCTTGGATTATTCAGTGCAGTTAGTTAACAGCAGAAAGGTAGAAGGGTTGGGGAGATAGCCTACCCAGTGAAGTCCTGAAGTATGATGACCTGAGTTTATTTCTAGATCCCATATTAATTTTTTTTTTGATTTTTCGAGACAGGGTTTCTCCGTAGCTTTTGGTTCCTGTCCTGGAACTAGCTCTTGTAGACCAGGCTGGCCTCGAACTCCCAGAGATCCGCCTGCCTCTGCCTCCCAAGTGCTGGGATTAAAGGCGTGCGCCACCACCGCCCGGCCCCATATTAATTTTTAAAAAGTGGACACAGTGACACATGTTTGTAATCTCAGGGCTGGGGAGTTGGAGACTGAGGAGCTTTGGGGCCTGCAGGTCAGCCAGTATTGCACAATCTGCAAGCCCCACACCAATGAGATGCCCTTTTGAATAAACAAGGCATTTGACTCCTGAGGTTGTCCTCTGGTTCCATACATAGGGACCTGCACACATGAACACATACAAACACGTTGCATAAACAGTGCTTTATCATATCAACATGAAGTAGAAAGTTGACAAAGTCATCATAAGCTGAGATTAAGTATACTGTTTTTTGAGTACACTGATTTGATTTGTATTTCAAAGGATGAATAATAGACTGAAACAGCTAAAGGGAATGTGAGAGTTATCTGGGCTAGAAATAGAGCCCAAGATATAATTGACCTGCTTCTAATTCACTGAAAATAAAACCATGCCAGCATTACCAGTTAGATATTTTCAGCTGATACTGGCCTTTCCTCTTTTGTGGGCTAAGCTTTTCATGACTTATAGATGTACTGAAAACAGGAAGTCAATCACCTTGACTTGCATATTTTAATTGATATCCTTTACTCTTCTCAACCAATTAAACAACATGCCATGCATTATTTTAATTATATGTTAAGCTCTTAACTGCTTGGGGCAGTTGTAAGTCTTAAAAGAACTGAACCTAGTATGTGAACAGATGTAGAAATGAATCTTTATGAACTTAATACGATTTCTAACTAGATCAATGGTTCTCAATCTGTGGATCCTGACCACTTTGCACTCATATCAGATATCATGCATATCAAATATCTACATTATGATTCATAACAGTAGTAAAATTACACTTATAAAGTAGCAATGAAATACATTTATAGTTGAGGGTCATCACAACACTAGGGAACTGTATTAAAGGGTTTCAGCATCAGGAAGGTTGAGAACCACTGAGCTAGATTATCCTAATGTTTTGACAGAATTACCTTCATGTGTGTATATTGTACATATCGTGTGTTAGTACTGTAGTTAACTCTTTGGTTGGTTTAGATATTAACTGATTTTACTGGAAGATACAGACCTCAGACTTGGTAATTGTACAGGTTCCTTATTAAGATAGCATGGGTATGTGCATTAAATATTTAAATGCTTATTTTTTTCAGCTACCAACCAATAATTGATTACATAGATGATCAATTTGAGGCCTATCTCCAAGAAGAACTGAAGATCAAGCGCGCTCTTTTTAACTACCATGACTCGCGTATCCACGTGTGCCTCTACTTCATTGCTCCAACAGGCCATTCTCTAAGGACACTTGACCTCCTAACCATGAAGAGCCTGGACAGCAAGGTGGATTAGGGAAGCAACCAACTTCTCGAATTTTAGTATACTTGAAATATTAAAGTATTTTTATTATAATAAGCACATGCTTTGCAGCTTTTATTCTGTATGTCTTTGAAACATTTTTTTTTTCCTGGGGAAATTCAATCTGGAAAATAAGATACAAAGACTAAACAAGTTCTCTTTTTAGTGATTGCATTTGTTACAATTGTTCTCTAAATTTTCATATAGAGTTTCTTTGACATAATTTTATTTCAGACATAGTGAAAGGAATAACTTCTTTGACAAAGATTATAAAGCATAATATTTCATCTTGGTGAAATACGTTTTTGTTTGGAACAAAACAAGAAAATTTGTTCCTGAATTTTTGAAGCAAGTAACTATTTATAAATTTAGGAGGTTATAAAAACAGTTCCATAATTAACCTGCGGAAGACTTTTATGTTTATTTAAAAGTTGAAAAAGACTAGTTTCTTCCCTAATCCAAAGGAAATCTGTTCATATACAAATCTGTGCTTTTAAAGGAATAAAATAAAAAGTGAAATTCTGTGTTATACAAAAGATCACTATGATACAGTATTATAAAGGTCATAGAATTTGCTATTAGTGGGGAGGTGATTTTAAATATTGGTTGTATCCCTTATTAGCTGTTTCATCTGTGGCAAATACCTTTAGTGCTCTGAGCCTCAGTTTCCTCACTCCCTAATATACAAAGCAGGTGAAGCCCTGCCTTGAAGTATAGATGTGAAAATTAATCTGTAAAAATAAAGAGCTTAGCTATAAGACATTCCCAGTAAAAGATAGCTATTATTATTACCTTGTGAGAACTAAATGAGATAATGGATATAGCCCCTGTTAAATTATGCATTTAGTATATATAATATTTAGGCATGTAAACGTGTTATTTTACCTTTCTTCTAAGCTGCCAGAATATATTTGTATGGCACAGAGAGAGAATTGTTTTATTATAGTCTGTAAGCACATACTACCTAATCTTCAGGTTTGATGATTTTAAATAATTTTTTTTTTTTTTTGGTCTTTCTGAGATAGGGTTTCTCTGTGAAGCCCTGGAACTCACTCTGTAGACCAGGCTGGCCTTGAACTCACAGAGATCTGCCCACCTCTGCCTCCCAAGTGGTGGGATTAAAGGCATGCACCACTACCACCTGGCACATTCTTTTTTTTTTTTTAATTTCAAAGTGTAAGTTTTCTTATAAAATTAAGTACCCTCTTTTTTTTCTGTATTTTATATAAGAAGGTTGTAGCCATGGCCTGCTGAACTACTTAATATAACATTCTATTGTGAGATAGGCAGTAGAAGCTAGGATGTGGTGGTATACCTGCAATCCCAGCTGCTTGGGAAGGCTGATGCAGGAGAATTGCTTTAGACAGGAGTTTGAAGCCAGCCTGACAATAGAGTGAGATCTTGTCTCAAAACTAAATCAAAACCAACCTAATATTAGTATTTTATTTAAAAAGGTAAAAATAATAATGTCACATTTCACTGATATGTACTTTCCTAGCATGTTTGAGGCTCTGCCCTTAACACTCAATACATTTATAAAATTAAATAAATAAATAGCTTGGCCACTTACCAGCTTGTTGCAGCACTGAGTGACCTAGCCAGGCTTTCGTGTTTTCACTGACGTGAGGATAGTGAGCTCACATTAAGACTCCTATGGAGATATATGAGATATCTTGCAAAATAGTTACCTTTGTACATAGGAAACAACTGTGTTACTCATTCTATTAACTTTTTATTAATAGCCAAAAAGTCTTATTTAGAATGTTCTTGTACTGGCCAAGCAGCCACCTCAGCTCTGTTAGGAGCAGTTTGTGTTAGTAAGCTCTGTTAGTGAATTTTCAGAAGCGACTCTGAGCGCTTTTTCAGCAGTCCAGCCCCTGACCTCCTGAGAGTCACGCATCCTACACACCACCTGTCATTTTGCAAGGAAGTGGTTTCTGGTGACAGTAGAAGTTCGTCAGCAGTGGCCATTCATGGGAAGACTGGCACCCTCTTCTGTTTTATTCAAGTGTTGGGGACAAATTCTGAAGCTGGTAGGCATCTGATGACTAGGCCTTGACAGAGGTAAAAAAAAGAAGAGGCAAAAAGAGAAGCATCACCTGTTCTCTTAGTGTTCTTGGGGGATCAATTACCTAATTACCGTAATGCTTAGATTATAAAGAAATAAAAGTGAATTAAGCAGGTGTTTTTTGCTTATAGTTTATTATGTTCTACTTCCCTTGTGTGGAGTGGAAAAAGACTTGGAGTGGAGAGAAAATAATGAGATTCCAAACCTAAATACAAATGCAAATTTAATTTTACAAGAGCCCTTTTAAAAATGTTTATAACCTACCATCGATGGGAATGGGTGTATAAGAATATTACATATGCGCATATATGAGAGTGGCAACTAGTAACTGTTGTGGTTAGGGAAATCTACACACAGGCAGGTCGTAAAATGTGTCAGTTTCCTGTGCTCCTTATGGCAACTCCTTGAGCTGTTGTAGCAGGAAGGTAGAATAAGTGAATAAATGTGCTGTTTCAATTTGCCAACTCCTTTATCCTTTGCCAACTCCTGGTCAGAGAAAGTTAGTGTCAGAGACTGGTTTTATACAGAAAAGCTATGACTGCGGGATTAAAAACAAATTTTCCATGATGAGATTGTGGATTTTTTTTTTCTTAATAGGTGAACATTATACCATTAATTGCCAAGGCAGATACAATTTCTAAAAGTGAATTACAGAAGTTTAAGATGAAGCTCATGAATGAACTGGTCATCAATGGTGTTCAGATATATCAGTTCCCAACAGATGACGAGACTACTGCCAAGATCAATGGTGCAATGAATGTGAGCCCCCCATTGAGTATACATTTGTTCTGTTTGTAAAAGGAAAGCTGAGTTCTGAGTAACACTGTTCCCACAATAGCCCTACCCACCTGAGGCTTCGCTTTCTGAGGCTTTAGTTTTTATTGTGAAAATGGAAAATTGCAGAAATTGCTAGTTTTCAGTTGTGTGCCAATCTGTATAGCATGATAAAATCTTACCATAGGCATTGTACCAACTAATGTCATTAAAACAATGGTGATTCTAATACAATAGTATTTTTAAAGAGACACAGTCATGTATTGTGCTTTAAGTGTTTATTGTCCCACTTGGCCATAAGTTATTAATCTCTATGGTACCTAATTTATAAATGTCCATAGGCATCAGAATAGAAGAAAGCATACTATCTGTGGGCTGTGCACAGGGTGTACTTTCAGACATCTGCTGGGTTCTTGGAATGTGCCACCCATAAACAAAGGGAGACCCGTGGGATCTGTTTTACCTTGTGTTCCCCAAAAAGACTTCAGTCAAAAAGCCCAGTAGAATAAATGTTTGCTGTTGTTGAAAAACAGATACTGAGTGCTTTATGCATGTTTTCCTTTTTCTTACTTCCACCTGAATAAAGTAATTCATTGTAAGACTTGGGTTTACCTTTGTTGAACCATATTTAATTACCTCGGAATGGTTCCTTTCTGTCCTGTTTTAAAAACACGAAAGGACCATGCAGCTTCCCTTGGCTGCTTTAAAATCTGAGTTTTTAAGAACTCCTGAAGCTGATGTTCTCCCTTCTAGTGTCTCCTGTACAAATGAAATGCTTGTTAAATTTAATGTACCCAAGATGACTCATTATTTTTCTTGCTGTTTCTCATTTCTTAAATGCTTTGTTGTATTTTGAAGGATTGTAAGTTTGAGGCTGATGCTTTTTGTGACAGTAACATCTGGAGACTTAACTTGTCTGTAAAATGTGGTTAGTAGTCTTCATCCAGACTGACTGAGGATTAGTGGATGCACTCCTAACTAAATGCCTAACAATAGCGTTCTCTAACTGCCATTCTTTTTCTCCCCTTTCCTTTTCTATTTATCATACGCTACTGTATTGGATACTTTTCTGTGACACAAGTTCTGACAAAGCCACTTAAATTTCTTTTAGCTTGTAGTTTGACATTGCAATCTGTCACGGTATAGGGGTCCTGGCAGTGGGGATGGACGGCAGCTGTTCACAGTACACCTGCTGTCAGGAAACAAAATAAACACTGCCGCTTAGTCTGGTCTCCTTGTATTACGTATGGATCCCCAGCCCATGGTGGTGCTGCCCATGTTCGGGATGGGTCTCCATGCTCAGCTAAACCTTTCTGAGACACACACAGGTGGTCCCAAATATAGTTACATTGACAGTGAAGATTAACCGTTACAGTCATGATAACTAGAAACCCTAAACTAAATCTCTAAAATCCTGATAATGTAAATGAGGTGATCGTGATTCCCGGGTGTAAATTGCCTTTATATTTAATTTTATTCATAAGCTCATTAGTAATTTATCAGACAGTTAAAACTTCATTCAGTTGTTAAATATTAAGCTTTATTTCTTTGTGCATGAATCTTCCCCCTATTTCAGGCCTCAGCATTAGACAGACTCCTACACTCCTAGTCCCCGGCTGAGCTGCGCATGTTACTGGAAGGCCCTATGCTAGACCTTCCTACTCTTAGATCTATAACCCCCATGTTCCCAGCCCAGCTTGGATTGCATCTCTCTTCTCAGTAATCTCTTGTTCCTCTTGCTTCCTGTAGCTCTTGTCCACTAGCATCATTTTATATTAATAGTACATGTGATATACTAAGTGTAGATACGATATTATTTTGCATATTATATAATGTACATAGTTTCTAAAATACCTTTTTTGGGGGGAAAATGTTGATGGCAGTGTCACATGTATCAAAATTTTCCTTCTGCTTCTCCTTTTCTTCTTTTTAAAATTCCAAATAACATTGTGCTTTGCATGTGGAAATGTGCATTAAATAATTTTCTTTGTAGTGTCCAAAATTAACTTGTAGGATAATTAGTACATATCCCAAGTAAAATCGCTGTTTAATTGTTCTCTACTATTTCCATCACTGATATTTTAGTCACTGATATTGTGGCGTAAGATAATGAGATTGATGTTTGGTTCCTTCCCAGGGACATTTGCCATTTGCTGTTGTGGGAAGTATGGATGAGATACAAGTTGGAAATAAGATGGTCAAAGCTCGCCAGTATCCTTGGGGTATTGTTCAAGGTAAATGGATAAACGGTGACAGAAAATGTATGTGTTGCTCTGGTATGCTCTGTGCAACTCCATCCCTAGTGCTTGATTAGAACTGAAATCTAAAGCAGTGCCTAAACATGATATTACTGTGTAGACGGGGCAGAGTATACCATCTTGAAAATATTTATATGTTTTCTCATCACGGTATTGCTAAACTATTTTCAAAAGGAACTAGTAAACCAGCTTTAAAGGGTAATCCACTTAATCTGGCATTATAGTAAGCAAGTAAGATCATCGACTTTTTACTTGTTTTTTGTTTTATTTTGTTTTGAAGTTTTGAGATTCTGCTTTGCTTTGTAGCCCAGGCTGGCCTGGAATTCAGTTCTTCTTGCTTAACTTCCCTGAGTTTGAGCAGCCTGTACCACTCCATATATCCTTAATCATAATGGCAGTTAATAATATGCCTTAATATAATGGCAGAAATATATTACTTGTACGGTCACTAGCTTCAGAGAATTTTTTTTATATTTTAATTGAATTTGGGGGAGTGTTGATTTTGATTTTATGAAATGGTCTTGCTGTGTAGCCTAGCAGGTTTGGAAATTATGATACTCTTGTACTTATGAACCTCTGGAGTACTGGGATTATAGGAATGTACCACAATTTCCAGGTGGTAATAATTTTTTTTTTATTGAGAAAAGGAGAAAAAAAAAACAAGTTTCCACCTTCTCCCAGCCTCCCATTTCCCTCCCCCTCCTCCCACCCTTCTCCCCTTCCTCCCACCCTTCTCCTCCTCCTCCCACCCTTCTCCCCCTCCCCCCACTCCTCTCCCCCTCCCTCTCCAGTCCAAAGAGCAATCAGGGATCCCTGCCCTGTGGTAAGTCCTAGGTCCTCCCCCCTCCGTCCATATCTAGGAAGGTGAACATCCAAACTGGCTAGGCTCCCACAAAGCCAGCACATTACGTAGGATCAAAACCCCATGCCATTGTCCTTGGCTTCCCATCAGCCCTCATTGTTCGCCATGTTCAGAGAGTCCAGTTTTATCCCATGCTTTTTCAGTCACAGTCCAGCTGGCCTTGGTGAGCTCCCAATAGATCAGTCCCACTGTCTCAGTGGGTGGGTGCACCTCTCGTGGTCCCGACTTCTTTGGTCATGTTCTCCCTCCTTCTGCTCCTCATTGGGACCTTGGGAGCTCAGTCCAGTGCTCCAGTGTGGGTCTCTGTCTCTATCTCCATCCATCACCAGATGAAGGTTCTATGATGATATGCAAGATATTCGTCAGTATTGCTATAGGATAGGGTCATTTCAGGTTCCCTATCCTCAGCTGCCCAAGGAACTAACTGGGGACCTCGGCTTGGGCACCTGGGAGCCACTCTAGGTTCAAGTCTCTTGCCAACCCTAAGGTGGCTCCCTTAACTAAGAATTGTGCTTCTGTGCTCCCCTATCCAACCTTCCTTTATCCCAATCCTCCTTTTTCCCCAAGTTCCTCCCATCCTCCCCTTCTCCCTTTTCTCTCCCCATCTCCCCTTACCCCCATCCCACCCCACCCCCAAGATCCCAATTTTTTCCCCGGCAATTTTGTCTACTTCCCATAGCCAAGAGGACAACTATATGTTTTTCCTTTGGTTCACCTTCTTACTTAGCTTCTTTAGGATCACCAATTGTAGACTCCGTGGCCCTTATTTATGGCTAGAAACCAATTATGAGTGAGTACATCCCATATTCATCTTTTTGGGTCTGGGTTACCTCACTCAGGATAGTGTTTTCTATTTCCATCCATTTGCATGCAAAATTCGAGAAGTCATTGTTTTTTACTGCAGTGTAGTACTCTAATGTGTATATATTCCACACTTTCTTCATCCATTCTTCCATTAAAGGGCATCTAGGTTGTTTCCAGGTTCTGGCTATTACAAATAATACTGCTATGAACATTGTTGAACAAATGCTCTTGTCATATGATAGGGCATCTCTTGGGTATATTCCCAGGAGTGGTATTGCTGGGTCCAGGGGTAGGTTGATCCCGAATTTCCTGAGAAACCGAAACACAGATTTCCAAAGTGGTTGCACAAGATTGCATTCCCACCAGCAATGGATGAGGGTACCCCTTCCTCCACAGCCTCTCCAGCAAAGGCTATCATTGGAGTTTTTTATTTTAGCCGTTCTGACAGGTGTAAGATGATATCTCAAAGTTGTTTTGATTTGCATTTCCCTGATCACTAAGGAGGTTGAGCATGACCTTAAGTGTCTTTTGGCCATTTGAACTTCCTCTGCTGAGAATTCTCTGTTCAGTTCAGTGCCCCATTTTTTAATTGGGTTACAGGTGGTAATAATTTTAAATCAATGTAAAACACCAAGAAAAATTTTAAACTAATTAAAACATAAAATAAACCGGTATGGTAAACTTCTAGTCCTACTTAGCTCCTTGGGAGGTGAAAACCAGAAGATTTCAAGTTTGATGTCAATCTGTGAACACAATGAAGCCTGTCTCAAATAAATAAATTTAAAAAGTTTTATTTTAAAATTTAAAGTCTTGGTCACTGTAATATATCTATTTATAGTACTTTGGCTATTGTAAACATAGAATGACCATACCAGTGTATTTACTAGTTTTGAATAATATTTAATACAAATTCATAAGTGTAATATTTTAGAAAAAGAATTTGATCATTGTAGCTCGTAACAGAATTTACTGCTTTGGAGTGAGATAAAGTTTCTTGCTGTTTTCAAAGTGCTGTGTAAAATGTCCTGAGCGTAGAGATGGTGAACCAGCAAAATGTTAGTGAAGCAGCTGGAGCGTACAGCAATGAGAACTATTTCTTTGCTAATTCCTTTGTATCCACTTGCTACTATATTTGAAGTAGACCTCTCAGTGTGTTAATATTACCTGTAATTCAGTGTATATAATGTAAGAGTTTCTTTCTTCCTTAGTTTCTTGTATATAATGATAGTGGCCATTAATTAGAATTGGCCATTTCTCCGTTATTTCATTTGTGTTTCATCTCCTTGCTCATTTGACAAGCACTAATTATGTGTTTTCTGTCTTGTTTTTCTCTGACTAGTGGAAAATGAGAACCACTGTGACTTTGTAAAGCTGCGGGAGATGCTCATTTGTACAAACATGGAGGATCTGCGGGAGCAGACCCATGCACGGCACTACGAGCTGTACAGACGCTGCAAGCTGGAGGAAATGGGCTTTGCAGACGTGGGCCCGGAGAACAAGCCCCTCAGGTGAGGAGGCTTTGGGAGGAAGGCGGGACAGAGGCAGTGAGAAAGGGCTGCCCTCTCTTAAGTACCCAGAGTGACGGGAGTGGAGTTTTGGAAATCTAACTATGAAATTGATTGATTTGACTTCTCCAATCAGCTGATTATCCTTGCTTCTGAAGATCATGTCTAACTAAATGAGCAAAGAAAAAAACAGTGACTTGGGAAGCTGTGTCACGAAGCTTACAAGTTCAAGGTCTGCCTGGACTGTAGAACCAGTTCAGGGCCAACTTGGGCAATAAAGTAACATCTTGTCTCAAACTGAAAAGTGCAAAAAGGTGGGGGTGGGTGGGGCCTTTTGTTCAATGTCAATAGTTCTAGTCTGTGTGAGGCCCTGAATAAGAAAGGGAAAAGTAGATATGTAATTAGGATGTGTGACCTCAGTATCCAGGTAACAGAATTAGGATGTGTGACCTCAGTATCCAGGTAACATAATCTCCTCACTTGTTTGCTTTTGTTGTTTTTTCATTTCTTTCTTTTTTGTGCCTAGAAACAGATGAAAATATAATTATTATTGTATAAGTAATATTAAATTACTCAAATCTTCATTACTTGTTCTTTTTATGAAGTAACATTTGGAGTAACTGAAGCTTAGCCAAAAATGCAGTATCTTTTCCTTGAAGGGAGTTTGGGTTCGAATTGTTTTTTTTATAGTTACAAGAATTTTAGACGGAGAGATCTTGTTCAGTGACTAGACCATTTAATGTTTCATGGTAAATTTTCTTTTGTATTTTGATTTCTTTGGTAAGTTTATTATGGGGCTCTATGATAACCCTGAATTTTAAAAATGAAAATACATATATAGAATCCTAATTCCTCCTGTACTTAATCAAATATGATTGAATAAAACACTGTAGAACAGTTCTGCATGGGTAAAGAAACAGCCCTTAGGATAAGCACTGTTCTGATTTCTCTGAGAGTGAGGGTTCCTTTTCCACTCCACTGTTGGCATTTATTAATTCCCTTAGCTGTTGACACCTGTCACAGGGTAGATACAATAGGAAGGAGTAAGAGAATATCTTATATCGTTGTTTAGATTTCAGTTGGCCTTGTGGAAGACTTAATCATAGATGAAGTTAAAATTTAAATTTCATTAGTGTTTTAGTTACTCTAACATAAAAAATTAAGAATTGTATGTGTTAACCCCTCCCACTGAATTAATGCTGTACGGCAGTAGTTCTGATAAGCTGATGATTTTTCTGATCATATTATATCTTTACTGAAGATTAACCATTTCAAGTTGGTTTCCCTAGTGTTTCCCCAAGGAGGTTTCGCTTCTCATTTCTTCCAAGTTTCAGGGATAATTCAGAGGTCTGTGTGTACTGAGGAGGCAAAGGTCCCAAGTGAAAGCAAACAGGACAGCTATGAAGTATCTCCAAGAAGAGAGAGATCCGGGTTGCCTGGTGGAATCCTCATCAGTCACCTGTAGATGACTAAGAAATGCAGGGTCAGAATTTCCAGGGATGGAACCTAGGAATCTACATTTTAAAATGTTCCTTCAGCCAGTAATTGTTGTTTGTCTGCCATCTGTCTGCTCAGCATGCTAGCTCCTGGGTATGTATGCACATGGGTCAGACAGTACCCTTGCCCTTGTAGTACGTGGGGGCAGGAAGTGTGAAGAAGGCATTAAATGGCCTTGTGTGAACAAGAGATAATGGGGTGGGGCAGCTAGAAGTGGACGTGAATAGACTAAGCTAAGAGACCAGACACAGAAAAATAGAGGCTTGGACAAGAATGGTAACATATTTATTAGGATAGATATTTTAAGGAGTTATTGAAAGATTTGTTTGAATATGGGATGCCAAGAAAAGGTGAATTAAAATTTACTTCAGCCACCTAAGAAACAGGGCAAATGGTGGTCACTGAGATAAGCAAGAGGGGAAGGGGAAAAAATTTAGTGGTGGGCCATGGTCAGGAAATTGGAAACGATAAATCTAAGCAGCTCATTAAGCATTCAGGATGAGTCTGGAGTTAACAAGATTGGAGACAAGGGATGCCAAAATCAAATTCTCAGTTGTACAGTAGATTTTAACTGTGACACATGCACTAAAGGAAAGGTAGACAGACTATGAGATGGGGGATGTGTTAGGTTAAACTGGAAAATTAGGAGAGATACTCTTGGGGCAGTAGTGTATTTTGAACTATAATAAATGGGAAAAACCAGAGCAAAGCCCAGAAGGAGGAGGAGGCAACCCTGGAGATTGCTAGCAGAGGATAAAAGAGGGAGAAGCAGACCCCAGTGTGAGGCCAGTTTCTGTCCTTCCCAGGCTGCTCCATTTAGGAGGGAGGAATTTCTCTAAACCAATTCTGTTTCTTAGGCCAGGCCGAGGCAAACTACAGCTTGTAGTACTTTCCATTTTGTGAGACTTGGTAAGGTTTGTGTAAGAAGTTCATTGTAGCCTAATACATGGAAAACCTTCATTGTTTGTAGTTTCGTGAAGTTAACTTTCTATTTTCTGAGGACTCTTTCATATTTAGTTCATCTTAATTTGGTTGGTAGAATCTGTGTTATATCAACCTAACAATTAAAGGAGACGTTACATGGACCTGCTAGGGTGCCCTTTATTTCTTTATTGCCAGATCTTCAGTTTGTTTTTCCATCTTCCTCTTCCTTTGAATGGTTATACTGAGTCATAGTTGATATCCCAATCTACTATTCTTGTCATGAGGTTTAAGCATAGAGTATACACTTATAGTTTTAATATACTGGTATGTATTTGTTTATATACATAAGTACTTCTTTTTCTTTTTAAAACAATCTTGTTTTACATACCAATCCCAGTTCCCTTTCCCTCCTATCCTCCCACTCCTCCCTCTTTTCCCCACCCTAGCCCCATCCACTCCTCAGAGAGTGGGCATCAATAGTCTGTCACATTACTTGAAGCAGGACCTAGGCCCTCGCCTCGTATCTAGGCTGAACAAGGTATCCTTCAGGGATAAGGAATGGGCTCCAAAGAGCCAGTTCACACACTAGGGATAAATACTTTTTCCACTGCTAGTAACACCACAAACTGTCACCCACATTCAGAGTGCCTAGTTTGGTCCTACACAGGTTCCCCAGCTGTCAGTCCAGAGTCAGTGACCTTGCTCAGGTCACTGTAGGTATCCCCATCATGGTCTCAACTCCTTTGCTCATATTCTCACTCCTCTCTATGACAACATCTAGGAGGTCAACCCAGTGCTTAGCTGTGGATCTCTGCATCTGCTTCCATCAGTTACTTGATGAAAGTTCTATGATGACAGTTAGCATAGTCATCAATCTGATTATAGGGGAAGGGAAGTTTAGGCCCCCTCTCCACTATTGCTTAGATTCTTAGCTGGGGTCATCCTTGTGGATTCCTGGGAATTTCCCTAGTTCCTGGTTTTTCGCTAACGGCATAATGGCTCCCTCTTTTAAAGTACCTCTTTTCTTGCTTTCCCTTTCTGTCCTTCACCCAGTTCGACCTTCCTGATCCCTCAGGTTCTCTTCCCCACTCCCCTTCTTCCCTCTCTACTTCCCTACTACTCCCCACTACCCCCGCACTTCCAATTTACAAGGAGATCTTGTCTACTTCCCCTTCCCAGAGGGAATCTGTGTATGTCTCTCTTAGGGTTCTCCTTGTCTCCTGTCTTTTCTGGGGTTGTGGACTGTAGGCTGGTTATCTTTGCTTTATGTCTAATATCCATTTATGAATACATACATACCGTGTTTGTCTTTCTGTGTCTGGGTTACCTCACTCAGGATGTTTTTTTTCTTGTTCTATCCATTTGCCTGCAAATTTCAAGGTGTCATTGCTTTTACCGCTGAGTAATACTCCATTGTGTAAATGTACCATGTTTTCTTTATCCACTCTTTGGTTGAGGGGTATCTAGGTTGTTTCCAGGTTTTGGCTTTTATGAGTAATGCTGCTATGAACATAGTTGAGTACATGACCTTGTGGTGTGAGTGTGAATCTTTGGATATATGCTCAAGAGTGGTATTGCTGGGCCTTGAAGTAGACTGATTCCCAATTTACTGAGAAATCACCATGCTGACTTCCATATCAAAATGTAAAATAATCCAATTAAAAATGGGGTACAGATCTAAACTGAGAATTTTCAACAGAGGAATCTCAAAAGGCACTTAAGGAACTGCTTAACATCCTTAGCCATCAGGGAAATGCAAATAAAACACTCTGCATTACCATCTTACACCTGTCAGAATGGCTGAGATCAAAAACACTAATGAAAGCTATGCTTGAGAGGACTGGAGGAAGGGGAACACTCCTCCATTGCTGTTGGGAGTTCAAACTTGTACAGCCACTTTGGAAACAGTATGATGGTTTCTCAGAAAACTGGGAATCAACCTACCTCAGGACCCAGCAATAGCGCTTTTTTTTTTTTTTCGAGCTCACTATGTAGCCTAGCTGGCCTGGAACTCATTGTATAGAGTTCCATGCTAACCTTGAACTCACAAAGATCTCCCTACCTCTGCCCACTGAGTACTGGGATTTCAGGTGTCCTCACCACACCAGACTTTAACATTTTTGTATTATTTAACTTATATGAAAGATACTTTGACAAAAATTCAAGTACCCAAGTTTAATAATTTTAGATGGTCACATCTAGTCTGTTTTCACAAATGATTATCACTGAAGTGTGTTAGGACCTCTAGTTCTTGTTTTGTGATGACTCAAACGCAGGCAAGTACTGTACCCAGTTTGTGGAGATAGGCCTCCCCACGCAGTACAGACTGACCTGGAGCTTGCTGTATAGCCCAGGCTGCTCTTACATGCACACCGTCTTCCTTCTGTCTCCCAGGCACTTGGAATGCAGATATGTGCCCCATCTAGCTAGGACCCATAGTTTTGAAAGGAAGATTTATATAGTACTATAGAGTTTCTTAACTTTTTAAGTTCATACTGAAATTTTACCTTTGGAACTCTGAAGAAATTAGTAACTTAGTGCATTTAATAGACTTAGAAGTTCATCGTGTTTATTTGAACTGTACAGTAACATGAACATCTCTGTGGAAAGGCTTGTAGACTTGATGACATAAGAACTAAAAATTGGTTCTTTTCCCTATTTGCTTCAAGTTTGTCAGATGCACGATAATGTAAAATTTTCATGCTCATGGCAACAGCTAATTTCATCTTAGGGACATCGTATAGCAGGGACTCTTCATGGTTGTTAACAGTGGTCTGTTCGTTTCGTTGTATTAACTCTACACACCATCCTTCAGATCTACTAAGAGTCTCTTAGGCACCTGAGAATGATGCTACAGATCTCTAAAACTGGAATGACCCTGTAATCTACCCAGAAAAGTCAGACGTGGTGCGGTGTGGTGGACGTGTGCAGGAGCAGCACATCTCTGTCCTGTTGCTGAGATCTCAGCTGAGGCCGTTAGATCTAGTGTGGTTGGCTGTGCGCTCTAACAAAGTCTGACTGGTTCACTTCCAGGTCGGGTTTGCAGCTGTGGTAGCTAGATTTGCTAAGCTGTTGTCTCCTCTCCTAGAAGTCAGAATGCCAGTGCTTGCTCTTGAGTTTTGCTGTGAAGATGAGGAGCTGCTGTTTGGAGCATCTCTTGCTGGTGGCATATAGTCATTAAAGTTCAGGCCTTTCTCTTCACCAGTTTCTTTATTTTCTTCCTGGGTGTGTGTGTGTGTGTGTGTGTGTGTGTGTGTGTGTAGATAAAGTAATGAAGCATTATTAAATGTCACTTAATAAAAAGTCAAGACATTATTATTAATATGTTATAAAAGACTTTATCAGTTCTTCTTGCAAAATGGAGTGAAGTTTCTGAAATTTGTCAAAATGACTCATTCATTTAGGAGCTTCTTTACAGTGAGACACAAACAAAACCAAAAAGCCTAGTCTGTGTAAGTGCCTTCTTGGTGTCTGAGGCAGTCCTTAGGGTGTTTTGTTCTTAATGGAAATGTTCTTACAAGTGTTTCAGATGTGATGCGCTTAGACGACCTGCTGTGCATATCTTCACCTCCAGCCTTGATAGCTATCATGCAACATTTCCTCCTGTTTTTCCTTCAACTTACTGAATATTAATAAAAACTCTTAATTCAAAAATATTATGAATTTTAAAATCCAGGTATATTCAGTGTCTTAAATGCAACAGAAATTTCTGACTGGCATAACAGGAAAGTGATTTTGTATTCTCTGCTAAAGCTCAAATAGGAGGGCTTGTCATTTTTGATATATTGTAAGGTTTATTGTTGCACCTTTGGAATTTTACAAGTAAGCAAAGAGAGCTATCCCTAGAATTTCAGGACAGTCTCTGCTTGGTTAGAATTGTCTCTACCAGCCTGTCTCTAAAGAAATAGTTAAGAAGAAACTAGTGTCTAGATAGCTTTGCTGGATAGACAGGTAACAAAGCTCACCAAAGATCCTGTATCTGTTTTCAGTATTTGTGATTCATTAAAAAAAAGGGAAGACAGGATGTAAATGCTCTGGAGGTGCTTTGGAAGGACCAGTCCATTGAGAAGAATGGAAAGCCTTAACAGAGGAAGTTGCATTTGTGCCTGACTTCCGGAGACTGAGGAAATGGCAGAGCAGAATGCACTTGGGAAGAGGGCAGTGACATCAGAAACAGGAGAAAACTTGGACAGCCATGGCTGTTACACAGGGAAACCCTGTCTCGAAAAACCACAGCAAAACAAAAAACAAACAAACAAATAGCTGGGCAGTGGTGGTGATACCTTTAATCCCAGCACTTGGGAGGCAGAGACAGGCGGATCTCTGTGAGTTTGAGGCCAGCCTGTTCTACAAGAGCTTGTTCCAGGACAGCCAGCGCTATTACATAGAGAAACCCTGTCTCGAAAAACAACAGTAACGAAACAAAAACAAGCAAACAGAAACAGGCAAAAACTCAGCATATAGGTTTGTTTTAAGGGCAGTGAGTTAGTTGTTTTGACCAGAACCTAAGATTTGTTTATTGAGGAATCAATCTGGAAAAGAAGTAGGACAGATTGCAGTTCTTTTGCCTGTTGTTTAAATGAGGTGTGATCTTATTCTACAGATGGTGCAACTCTAACTCAGGGAGAAAAGCTAAGGAGTTTTGTGGTTTAGATGGAGATTTTAGGGAGGGACCAGAAGAACACAGAGAGAAGAGGAGCTAGTAGCCCAGAGGTCATTAAGAAAATATTGCAATGGTAAAGGAAGAAGATGTCAGGAATTGCATTTGTTATTGTATGGTATCTGCAGAAAAGGAAAGAGGACTGGATTTCGGTGATGTCAGCTTCACAGATAGAGCTAACTAACCTGCCTGGGTTCTCAGAGATAAGCAAAGTGACTTTTAACAAAGATTGAAAATGGAACATGTCTGGGATAAAAGGAGAATACCTGTGAAGGACATGTTTTAAAAACAAATCAGTCTTAGTCTCTGCTTTTTTACCTGTAGCACTGGAAACCCTTCATCTGATGCTGTAGGTGGTGGCATGTTTGGGGATCCTCAGAAATGATGGTGCATGGTAAAATCAGGTCTAAATGAGGCATATAAATAAAGTCTTGCAACACTGTTATATCATCTTTTTAACATAAGAATAACACAATAACTTTTTTAGTCTTCAAGAGACTTATGAAGCCAAGAGACACGAATTCTATGGTGAACGTCAGAGGAAGGAAGAAGAGATGAAGCAGATGTTTGTGCAGCGAGTGAAGGAGAAAGAAGCCATCTTGAAAGAAGCTGAAAGAGAGGTGAATGTGGTCCAGTGTGATTTGTAGTTATTGTTTAGATGGTCTGTAAAACTGGAGGGTTCATCTTGTAATCATCCTTGGAAAACTATGGCACATACAATAGTCTTTAAATAGAGACGTCAAAGAAATAACAACCTGAAATCCAATTAACTTTTAGTCTTTGGAACAAACATTTTTCCATTAGGAATAGTTTAACAAAGACTTGTAACTACTAGGTTATTAAGAAATTTTGTAATACTATAACCAGAAACACTTTAACTGTGGCTTTTAAAGTGGTTTTGTTGTTAAAATTCCTTCCCTAGGGAAGACAAAGCAGTGTCTTCCCCTTGTCCCAAGGTCCCAGCAACAAATTGTGGCACAGTTTTGCCAAAGTTCACTCTGGGGAACCAGTAGATTTATTGGGCTTCCTTACAGGGTTACTTAAGGAGGTGGGGTAGACACTTTATTGATGGGAATATCTCTAACCAGTTGTGAATGAACTGTCAGAAACACAGACACAATGATGTGTTTCCACAGTGTCAACATGTATTGAATAACAAGTTCATAAATAGGAATGTTTCATTGACTTGTACAATGCCAAATAACCCAGTTTCCCTTAATAGTTGGCTACTAGCAATCACAGGTCCTTTTATTACACTCTTGAATACTCTTAGATCATACATTACATTGCATACAATACTATGTGTATGTGTGTGTGTGTGTGTGTGTGTGTGTGTGTGTGTGTTAGAGTATCAGTCGGCTAGAGAAGGGCTGTAAAAAGATACTACAGGTTCAAAGAGGCATTCCTGGGAGGGAGTATCACTGCATATGGTTAGATAAGACATTAAAGAACAAAGATGTCTCTCGAGGGAGGCAGGACCTAGGTGTCACAGGACTCTTATGGAGAAGCCCCTGGCCTGCTCTGTATATTTACCAAAGACATGATGTAATGGGTGAATGCCTGGAAATCCTTTGCACTGCATCAAGCAGTGAGGACTGTCAAGTGGTAGGGATCTTTTCAGTCCCTTGACATACCCACTGTGTCAGATGACAAGTTAGTAGGGTCACCACATCTCAGTGTTAGTTGTCCTTTGGAGTTCAAGTGAGAATGTTGAACTCTTTGTTTCTCTGGCGTGTTTGGTATGTATTTAGTTATGTTTCCTTTTTGTTTCATAATAGGGCCCATGTGTTCTCAGTCTACTTTGATAATTCAAAGGTTGTTTTAGTAACTTTTTGTTGCTGTGATAAAATGATATGACCAAGGTAATTGTAGAAGGGAAGAGTTTATATCGTTTATGGTTTTAGAGTGGGCCTTCATAATGGCAGGGGAGCATGGTAGCAGGTGGCCGGAGCAGGAAGCTAAGAGATCACATCCTCAATGCAAGCACGAAACAATGAACTGGAAGTGGAGTGAGGCTATAAACTGTCAAAGCCCTCACCCAGCGACACACTTCCTCTAGCAATGCTGTATTTCCTAAAGGTTCCAGAGAGCACCACCAGCTGGGGACCAAACGTTTTAATATACCTATGGGGGGCACTTCTTATTCAGACCACAAAGGTCATGACTTTGTATTTGTATGAATAAGTTATCAGTCTGTGCCTTATTGATACTAGCTGATATTTAGGTTCAGGGGCACCTTCAGAGGGGCTCTTGATTCTTGTGCTCCCAGACACGGAGGTGAGCAGGGGCAGTTGCAGGTGAACTGTATATATCGAGGAATCTTGGTTGGGACTGGTAGAATTGTTTTATTGTTTGTGGTTATGTTTTCCGTTGTGTGTTTATGACTGTGTAGGTGGCCAAAATTTAACCTTTTTTAGTGATAACACCAGCCAAGACTCTGGGGGTTTCTCTTGGGAACTTAAGGTAAAGCCCTTGGCTTTTGTAGTTTTGCCTCAACATGCTGAATGATATCTCTGTCCGTAAGAATAGGTCAGGGTCATGCTAATTGTGTGACTTCCCTTAGAAGGGAATGTTTTCCTCTCCAGTGATTCTCTCTTAGCAGTAACGGGTTAGAGTCCAGTCACTGGGTTCTTCTTGTCCTCTCTGATGAAGAGAGTCAGTTTTTATAAATGTTATCAAGAGCCAGTCAGTATCCTAAGAGGACCCCTTTGATTCAAGTAGAACTTTTATATCAGTGTTGATTTTTACCTCAGGGATTGTTATAACCTTTAATCATACATACTCCATCTTTAAGTTTCATCTTTCAGAAACCTTTTTCTTGCCCAAACCTTTCACTTACATCCTTTTTGTTTTGTGGCTTTGGAGCCTGTCCTGGAACTAGCTCTTGTAGACCAGGTTGGCTTCGAACTCACAGAGATCCTCCTGTCTCTGTCTCCCCAATGCTGGGATTAAAGGCATGCGCCACCACCGTCCAGCTTATTGGTTCCTTTTTATGTCACTTACTGTCATAAAGAAAGAACAGAATGAAAAGCTTTAACAAATTACTTTCATGGAATAATGTGATCTAAGGTTACCTATCATAAAAACTGTAGTTTTTGTCTGTTGTAAGTCCTGGGAGACGCAGTTGCCATTGGGTTTTCTTTCACTCATCTTTCCCTTGACTCCACAAGAATTGGAGAATTTCAAAATGTTAATGTTCAAACGAGCTGGCCAAGAAAGCAGAGCTCCCAGTGACCTTGGATCATGACCTATCTTGTACGAACAGGAAAGAAAGTACACAGAGAGCAAAACATCTTTCTGTTTTAACCTTGTAATTACAATGTGAGATAAATTTATTTTCCTCAAGAATTTAGGGCAGATAGGAAATGGTTACTTTTTACTGGCGAAGAAAGAAGGAGTTCAGTGGTGTGGGCTAGACAGGACCCAGCATGGTCGTCTTCCTTCTAACACACATAAACTCGACCAGATGAGCCACCGTTGTCTGCTGCACTGCGTGCAGGAGTAAGTATGGTCAGGAGACAGAGCCAGTGCTCTCTCCTGCTCATATCGCTTGCTCTTTTTACCCAGAAGTAAAGGAAAGCTACCAGAGAGGAAATGCTTGATTTTTGAAGAGCCATCCTCTGACATTTTCAAACTTAAGCTTGTCTAATGGCCTCTGTGTTAGAATAGGGCCAGGTTGCACTTCTGTTTATTCTCCGTGGAATTTTGAATCGATGTCAAGTATGTAAGTGTTCAAACAAACTGTCTGCAGAAGTGGGATCCAGTTTATTGCTTTTGTAGAAGTTGAGGTTGTCCCTAGGGAGAAGAAGGCCTGGTCATAGAGAATTTCTCTTTTACCTTTTCATCTCCAGAGTGGATCTAGCTGTAGTATGCTGTTTGAATTTAAGAGACCATCCAGAGGCTAGATTTATCTGCCCCCTAACATTTAAGAGTGTCTAGGTCAAACTTACCCTAATTTTTTGAATGTATCCATGGGGTGTCTAATGGAAAGAAGGCAGTCTTGATTCCCATTTGTAAGGGGAGGGAAACGAATCAGTGAGGTAACAAAATAGTTTTGTTGTTGTTCTTGGTAATTTGCTCCTGTTCATTTGTGTTCCTTGCTCTTATTACGCATGAATTTGAGGATCTTTGTTAAATAGGCATTATGGATAAAATGTAAAGCAAGGATATGAAAATTTGGCTCAATCACATAAAGGAACTCTCTTAAAATTTAAAGTCCCCGTAACAGCTGAAGGCTTTTTCTGGCAGCGTGGACGGCTGGATTAGGGGCTGGGAGGGTACTTACTGTATTGCTAGGATAGAAACTGCTCCTGTGTGTGCTGCCGCATTGTGTCAGTTACGGGAACTGTACTTTTGTTTCACAGCTTCAGGCCAAATTTGAGCACCTTAAAAGAATCCACCAGGAAGAGAGAATGAAACTTGAAGAAAAGAGAAGGATTTTGGAGGAAGAATCAATTGCTTTCTCTAAGAAGAAAGCTACTTGTGATCTATTCCAGAGCCAGACATTTATGGCGGCAAGTAGCAGCATTAAGAAGGACAAAGACCGAAAGAAGTAAGAGTCCCGCCACCCTGTCCCTGTGGCCCTGCCCCTCCCCTTTGGCTCCTAGCCCTGTTTGCTCTTCTTTCCCTGTGTTTTCTTCCTCCCTGTCTGCCTCCTGCTGCCAACACTAGAACAGGCCTGCCCTTGTTCTTCACTGTCCTCTCAGCAGGTGGACTATGCCTGCCCTTAGCAGGTCTTCAGTCTTAGCAGAACTGAGGAGTGAGCAGAGTAAAGCACCTCACAGTGAGAGTCAGGTCAGGGAGTGGCTAGTGCTCTGTCACAGCCCTGCCATAGTTCTCCTACACAGCTGCTACCATGAGTTAGTCTTTGTTTTATGTCTCTCTGGAAACTACATTTTGATGGAGAATCACAGAATTAAATGTCTTATTAATAAAACCTTAATTATTAGGCTCATTTTAAAAGACTTCATTCTACTGATCACTGATTTTAGTGAGGATTTTTTGTTTTAATAACGGAATCAGCTATCAGCTGGAACTCCTGTGCTTTGAAGTCAGAGCTGGTGAAACCAAACAGACGTAAAGATGCAGAGAAAGTAGAGAAGGCCGCAGTTCACGGGGGTGGCGTGAGTGGCGACTGGAGGACGATCTCAAGCCTATAGGGTTAGGATATGTGTTAAAGTTACCAGTTTTTGAAAATGAGTTTATTTTCCTTTTTATGATTTCATTCAGTACTCCGTGTCCCTTGCTTTATTCCTCCTACTTTAAATATTCTTTGTCCGCTTTACTGTTTTTACTGTCAAGAAACCCATCATGATTCTGTTGGGAATGTTCCATTGTGGGTCTCCTGCTCCACTGGTCCCTGTCATAGGAGGACAGTGCTCTCCTGAGTTCCTCACAGAACGGGACTCTTGCTTCTGTGAACTCAGTGCCTATATTTTGTGTAATTATGTGTTGAAGAAAGAATGTATAAAGGATGTATTTTGATTGAAATAATGGATTTAAGATATAAATTACAAATACAGTTTATTACTAGTTTACCATGCTTTGAATTAAAAAGAGCTCTTTTTACTTTATTATCCCTTCATTGTAATCTAGAATAACAAAATAGAACCCCCCAGTTTTCCCACATATATCCCCCCAATAAAGTTGTCATTCCATTCTCCTTGAGAGTCATGCTGTTGTCTACAAAATCAGACAAACCAGCAGATTCTTTTCTTTTTCTTCCCTTGTATCCTAATAGGGATTGAGCCCGCAGCTTCCCTTAACAGGCAGCACTCTTACGGCTGAGTTATAGCACAAGCTTTCTGTTTCTTTTCTGAGACAGGAAATCATATAATCTAGGGTGGTTTTACTCCCTACATAGATGAGAATGATGCTGACCTTGTGGTCGTCATTCCTCTACTTCCAAGTGCCTGGGTTACAGTGTGTGCCACCACATCTGATTTTGGGTTTACACAGTGGTAAAGAATCTAACGCAGAGCTTTACCCATCCTTTGCCAGCTGAGCTACATCCATGCCCTGTCCAGCGAGATCTGTATGAGCTTAGGCCTCACCCTCAAGGCACTGTGACTTGCTAGCTTCTTTTTCTTTTTCAAAGTCCCATAAATAAATATCTTGTGTGTTGACTATTTGCTCTTCTTCTAAAAGCTTTGTGAAATTAATGCTTTTGATAATTTTTACTTATGTTGTTTTTTGAATTGTTGCATTCAAAACATTTTTTTCTTTTCAGCTTCAATTTTATGTAGTACAAGAGTTCCAGAGCACAGATGGTCGTCACAACCAAAGTTATTGTATGCTTTGAGTTTATGCTAGTTTGCTTTATCATTAACTCAGTTATGTAGCAAAGCGCTAAAGTTACTCACATTTACAGAAAACTATTTTCACATAGAAGGCTGCTCTGCCAGCCAAAGTGTGCAGTTCTCCCACCCTTGCTGTCGTTAGGAATCTGTAAGTTGCTAGTTTGCTGTGGATCTTGGTCTACTTTCCTCCTGCCGAATTCTCACTTTGCTGCGTGGTATTCTAAATGGCAAAGGTCATTGCCAATAAAACTACAGAACTCCTTCATATTATGAATATCTGATTGTATTTTCATTATAGCATGGACTTATTTTTGTTGTGTACTAAACAGAAAACACTGGAGGCATATACTTTGGAGTGTATTACAAAGTTAAAGCTAATACCAATAGTAGAAAAATTTAAAATATTTGAAACAGTGACCCAATTATCAGTATTCTGAAGTTTCATGTCAAACTATGTAACCTTTTATACATCAGTGTGCCTTGTTGTATATTGCTTGATAAAACAAAAACAATTTAAAAGTTCAAAAATACATTTGAAGCTGGGTTATCATATTATTTTCCTTAAGCGATCATAAATATTTTTTAAATGTTGCCTTTGAGGGAATAAGAAAGCTGAAAATTGTATTAGAGTATCTGAATCTTAAATATATTAAAACTTGATACTTCATATTTCAGGATACATTTGCATCAGTGCCTTAGTAGTCTTAGGACAATGTTTTACTTTTCTAATGGTTATACGTATATATGTTTTCATTCTTTTGTACTTGAATATTCTGTATTCTGAATAAAATTGATATTCTTGACAAATCTGCAGATTTCCTAAAATGTGTTTAAATTGCTTAAATTTTTCTTTTTAATTGACACATAATTTATACTTTGATGCAGTAGAATGTGGCGTTGCACTACTTTCCTACAATATGTGTGATCAAATCAAGGTAATTGGCTTACTCATCAACTAAATAGCCATTTTGTGTAGAAAATATTTAAGGTCCTCCTGTAAATATCCATTTATTTATATTTATCCAACCGGCATACTTATTTTACTGTGTTGTAGACTGTTAGAAAGTTCATCTTACCCAGCTTCACCCCTGTACCTATACTTTGTATCTCCACATTCCCCATATCCTTCCCGGTCCCTACTAATCACTGTTCTTTTCTTACTCTTCCAAGACTAAATTCTTTAGCTTCATGTGTGACAAAGAACATGCTGTATTTGTCTTCTGTACTTGACTTAAAATGCCGCCTTGTTCCTCCTTGGTAATACAGGTGATAAGATTTCACTCGTATGACGGGATAGCATCCCATTGTGTGTATCTGTGCTGCAGTGTTCTTTCTGTACATCCATGGAGAGTCTCCTGGTTACTTACGTATCAACGTGTTCTGAATAATGCTGCAGTAAACCTGGGACCACACGTGTGTCTGTGATGTACTGATTTCATTTCTACTGGCTATATTCCTAGTAGTGGAACTACCAGGTCATAATATAGTTTGATGTCTATTATTTTTAAGAAGCTGTTTTCCTAATGATCATACTCATTTATATTTTCACCAATAGTGTATGAAAGTTGCTCTTTCTGTACATCTTCACCAACATTTATTATTCATGTATTTGCTGATTATCTTTGTAAACTACCTATGTCCTCATTAACATTTTTAATGATGATCACCATTCTAACGAGTGAGCTCACACTGTGACTGTGAAACAATCTTTATGTACTTACTGGCCACTTGTAGTGCATTGAGATCTGCATATTCATTTTGTTTGTCCATTTTATAATTGGATTTTTAAAACTGTAGTGTGTTTTTGGCCTCTGATTAGTCCATAGTTTAGTCCATCCCTGAATCAACAGTTTACAGTATGTTCTGTTATTCTCTAGTTCTCTTACATCTGTTTCATTTGCTCTGTTGAAGCTTTTTAGTTTGGCATCAATCTATTTGTTCATTTTTGCTTTTGCTACCTGTGTTTTTGGTGTTTTATCCAAACAGTCTTGTCCAGACAGATGCTCTATATTGATTCCTATATAATTTCTTTAATGGTTTTAGGTTAAGTCTTTTTTCCATTTTTGAGTTGATCTTTTTTATTGGTACAAAAAGCAAACTGACACATTGCCCATAAGTCAGGTGTCATCCACTCAAGTAGTCAGCCCAACCCTCACTTTTCACAGTTTTTACAGGTTGAAAACACCTTTATTCTTGTCCATTTGAATCTGCCTACGTGGCCTGGGGCCGGCAGGAATTCTCTATAGCAGCCTTGTGTGCAGAAGCGGAACTGATAAAGTTAAAGCGGCTGTTTTTTAAGTGTCTGTTTTCTCAAGATAAGGAGAAGGAGGATTTAGCTGAGCAAGCAAGAGTACAAAGGCAGAACCCACAGTAAAATTTAATCCATTCTAATCCTCCTCATATATATATATACACATATATATGTATATATATGTGTATATATATATATATATATTATATAGTGAGTGATAGGCGCCTAGTCCCCCCCCCCCCCCAATTTGGATGCCCAGTTTTCCCAACACTTATCTAAAAAATTGCTTATTAGTGTGAGAGGTGGCAGGCATGTGCTACAGGAACTGTGTGGAGGTCAGAGACAGATTATGGAAGTCATTCTTCTTCCATCGTGTTGGTCCCAGGCATCTAACTCAGTTGTTTGGTTGTTAGGTGTGGTGGCAAGCACCTTAGACCCCTGTGCCGCCTCTCTTTTCTAGTAGCTATCCTTTCTGCTTTTGTTTAAAATTAAAAAATCAGGTGTCTGTACTGACCTGAGTTATTTCTGGTCTCTTTATTCTGTGTCATTGGTCTGTTTTGGTTTGTTTTGTTCGTTTGGAGTCTGGTATTTGTGATGAATCTAGATTTGTTGTTTCTGCTCAAGGTGACTTTGACTATGTAGGGTCTTTTGTGGTTCTATTTAATTTTTTCTAGGTTTTCTTGTGCCAATATCAGATCTTTGGAAAGATATACATTGAATTGTAGATTGTAGTGGAAGATTTTTAGCATACCTTTTATAGATGAGAGATCAGGAAGAACAGAAATTAGTAAGGTTGGGGGAGATTAAAATACAAAACCTTCAATTTGTGACTTTCCATGAGGAGACCTGAACAACTTTCAGTAGATAGAGGAGTGAGTACCAGAAAGGCAGAGGCATTAAAAGCCCACCCCAGCATGGGTGAGGAGTAAAAGCTGCATTATATGCTTATATGCTTGGCTGGAAGGCAAGCCTCAGTATCTTTAAAGTAATTAAGTGACACAGATTATGTTCTCTGGTCATAATTCAATGAGACATCAATAAAAAGATAGAGACTCTTGTATGCTTGCATTAAGATTTTTTTTTATGCTGGGACCTCACCTGCATCAAACTTTATAAACCCCACTCTAAATCATGTAATAAATTACTCTTCCCTGGCAGCCCCATGGTAACTTCCTTTTTGTGACCATAAATAAATAAATAAATAAATAAAATTAAAAAAGGAAGGATTTCCTTAGCTATGATAAAAGATAATATAGATATAAATATAGTAGCTATAATTCTAGCTCGATACCTGCTTTGTTATATGTAAGTTTACTATGTTAAAGTTAAAGCCTTCCTTTTTATTTAAACAGAAAAGGGGAAATGGTGTGGGAAGTCCTCTTATATATGTGTTGCTTTTATTGGTTAATGAATAAAACTGCTTTGGGCCTATAGCAGGGCAGAACAGATGTAGGTGGGGAAAACTAAACTGAACGCTGGGAAAAAGAAGGTGGAGTCAGGGAGACACCAGTTAGCTCCATCAGAGATAGTAAACCACAGTCATGTGATGATACACAGATTAATGGAGATGGGTTAGTTTAGAATATAAGGGCTATCTAAAAATATGCTTAAGCTATTGGCCAAACAGTATTACAAATAATATAGTTTATATGTGGTTATTTTGAGTCTGGGCAGCCAGGAACGAACAAGCGGGCTTCTACATCTTGCCTTTCCAGCCTCCAGAGGTGGCTCCTGCATTCCTTGACTTTCCTTCTCTCCCTCTATCCTGAAAGTCAGCTAAGCAGGTTATGCCATGGTATGAATCTGACTTTGCTCTCTTCCTTCCCTCTCAAAGACTCTCTGTTATGTTGGGATACCTGGTCAGTGTCCTTTATCCACCCCAATTCTCCTTGATCTTGTAACTTCTATTCACAAGTTCTATTTCTCCAGTATATTTTTGTTGCATTTTTAAATTAATCTGAGAATTTCATGCAATGCATCCAATGTATTTTTTATCATAGTTACTCTAACTCCTCCCTACAAATTCTAATTTGTGATGCTAATATACTTATATGCTGACAAGGGTGGGGCCATCCACTTGAGCATGGACAGCCTACCAGGAGCCACACTCTTACAGAAAACAGACCCTCCCTCACTTAGAAGCCATCAACCATCAATTAGCATCTCAGCTAGGAGTGGGGGCTCTTTTTGTTTATTTTTGTTTTGAGATTAATATAATTATAATTACATTTCTCCCTTCCCTTTCCTCCCGGCCAGTCCTCCCTATTACTGCCTCCAAATTATTCATGACTTCTCTCTCTCTCTCTCTCTCTCTCTCTCTCTCTCTCTCTCTGTCGGTTTTTTGAGACAGGGTTTCTCTGTAGCTTTGGAGCCTGTCCTGGAACTAGCTCTTGTAGACCAGACTGGCCTCGAACTCACAGAGATCTGCCTGCCTTTGCCTCTCAAGAGCTTGGGATGAAAGGCGTGTGCACCACCACCGCCTGGCTTGTGACTTCTCTTTACTAATTGTTATTGCATCAACATATGTATATGTGTATAGTACATATTCATGAATATTATCTGCTCAGTCCACATGATGTTGCTTGTATGTGTTTTCAGAGCTGTTTGGTGATACACAACCAGTTGATGTGCTCTTCCTGGGAAAACCACCTCTTCTACTCCCAGTTCTCCTCAGTTGCCTGGAGTTAGTTCTTTGTGTAAGGTTAAGACCTGGGCTTTTCCCAATCTACTTTGGCATGTCTATTGGTGTCCTCCTTGTTCAGCTCACATCTGGGCAGTCATATTGGTGGGACATTGTGGGTGTCACTTCTGATATTTCTAGGAGACAGTCTCACAGAAAGCTCCCTGTTCCCCTGGCTGTTACAATTTTTGTGAGCCCTCTTCCACAGTGTTCCCAGAGCTTCAGGTGCAAGAGTGTTTTCTAATAGTATCTATTGGGACTGGGACTCCACAGCTGTGCATTTTGATTTGTTGTGGTTTTCTGTAGTCTCCATTTGTTACAAAGAGAAGTTTCCTTGATGAGGGTGAAGACTTCACTTACCTGTGGAGATAAGGGCAGATGTTAATGCATTGCTGTTTAGGATTATGCTACTTTAGTAAGTTAGAGGTTGTAGATTCTTCTCCAGTAACCATGACCTCACTAGGACTGAGTAGTTAGCTAAGATTCCAGGACCAGGCATGATTTCTATGCCATGTGTGCCGTCATGCTCCCCACTATGATGACAGTGGACCAAGTCTCTAAACTGTAAGCAAGCCTCCAATTAAATGTTTTCCTTTATAAGAGTTGTTGTCATTGTGTCTCTTCACAGCAACAGAGCAGTGACTAAGGCAGTCAGCCAATATGCTAAGGTAGGTGGGGGGTTAATAAGGCTGCACCCCTGGGTGAAGACCTTTAGGCACTCAGTGTCACCGAGAGAGGAAGATTAAATGTTCTCCAGGGACAAGCCCTCTCTAATAGGTTACCCAGTCATGAGTGGCAGCCCTAAACACATGTATTTATCTATAATTTAATGGTGTTGAAAACCAGGAGCTAACACTGAGATGTTGCAAAGTAAAAATTTAA